GGCTGTGCAGTTGTATGCTTCTGCCAACTGGTTAAATTCACAGGAAGGGATCAATAATGACGCCACTGACATTAACCTTTGACCACCAAAATACAGTCAGGTCATCTTTGAGTCCAAGAGGAAGTTTTTGCCAAATTTGAAGAAATTCCCTCAAGGTGTTCCTAGCATATTGCGTTCACAAGAATGGGGAGGATGGATGGACAACTCGAAAGTCCTGACTGTCCTGTTCAGCTCCAGGTTGTTGTGACCACACCACAGGACCAGCTGTTCAACCTCCCGTCACTGTGAGACTGATGACCGCTGTGTCATCTGTGAACTTCAGGGGTTTAACACGGGGGTCCTCTGAGGTGCGGTTGTTGGTGTAGAGGGAAAACGGCAGCAGGGAGAGCACACATTCCTGGGTTGCGCCTGTGCTGATAGTCCGGGTGCTGGATGTGGTTTTCCCCAGCCGCACCTGCTGCTTCCTGTGTATTATGAAACGGGTGATTGAACAGTGTTCGGTAATTTTCACCTGTTTCACTGAAACAGTACCGTGTGTCTAAGACAGTTTTCAATAAGTCAAAAATAATGAAATCCTCATTCAATGATTACAAAATGTGCATTTTATTCTAAAATAAACCTGATACTCGATCACAACCAAGTCACATAGGGAAATGTAATTCTGCTTTTTGATTGGCTGTCTGGGGGAAAAAAGAGAATTTTAATGCGAAGAGAGGTGGTTAAAAAAATGTGATTGGCTGGTCTCTCATGCTGCCTGCCTGTGATTGGCTGCAGGATCCTGAAGCAGTACGACCACCCAAACATTGTGAAGCTAATCGGTGTCTGTACGCAGCGACAGCCGATCTACATTGTCATGGAGCTGGTTTCTGGTGGGTGGAGCTTCACATATTTTGTGTGCTTACTGGTCAGTTTCCAGCCACTGTGTTTGGGTGACTCTTCACTGTGTCTGTTAGGTGGAGACTTCCTGTCCTTTCTGAGGAAGAAGAAGGATGAGTTAAAGATGAAGCAGCTCGTTCGCTTTGCAGCGGATGCTGCTGCTGGCATGGCATACTTGGAGAATAAAAACTGTATCCACAGGTAAGTTGCCTAATACCTGTTTGAGCCATCATCCTCCATCCACAGGTAAATAGTTTGTATTGAAACACCATCAGAAGCAAAACCTCTGAGCGTCTTCTAAAAATTATTATACAAAGTTCAGTGCACTGAGTCACGGGTTAGAGTTGAGCTTTACATTGGCCAAGGTCAGTGACAGCCTGAGAAGACGAGCTCCGAGGAAATGAGGCTTCAGGATGAACTTGTCTGTCTCAGCACCAAAATCCTGCATGGGTCTAATTTTGAAAACTTACACCTGCAAAGCTCAGTATCGGACCTGACCCGTTACTTGGAGGTATTTCTAAATGAATCCTGGACCTGATTCGTTAACATAACACCCGTGACCTGTACTCATCATTAGAATAGACTTAAAGCTATACAGTCACTTAGTTTAAAGTGCTTGGGAGTTGTGTTCTTGGAAAAGTATCTGTCGATGGACGTGGCACTTGGGCTCTGCAGCTGTTCCCTTAGTGAGGATGTGCCCAGCTTCTGGCTATCAAATGCTAACACTTTTTGGCACTATTTACAAGCATCAAAGCCGCTGATACGGTTGTTCTCACTGTCGGAGGCATCCTATTAGCTGGATGTGAGTTGAGGGGACAAAGGTTGTTCCATAGGCCTTCACAATAAGTGTACTGGTTATTTAAGCTTGTTAAAATGATCTATTGGATGTTTAAATGAAGCTGCACCCTTATTTATTTATTTTTAATTGTTTGTTTTACTTGCTACCCACACACATTCAGTCTGGTTTTACCCGTGAACCTGCTACACATTTTTTGCGGGTACCTGACCTGGTGCAGGATTCTGCTCTGCACCTGGCTGTGCTAACCTGGCTGTCTCTTTGGACCTGGCTCTGTGCTAACCTGGCTGGCTGTCTGTCTGTCTCTACCTGTCTATGTTTAACCTGTCTGTCTGTCAGGGACCTGGCAGCGAGGAACTGTCTGGTTGGCGAGGGCAATGTGTTGAAGATCAGTGACTTCGGGATGAGTCGTCAGGAGGATGATGGTGTTTATTCTTCATCTGGACTCAAACAGATTCCTATCAAATGGACTGCACCAGAGGCCCTGAACTACGGTAACACCTGACCAGAGGTCACGCTAGACTTTCTCATTGTCCATCCTTTTGATAGACGGTCATTAGAAATTGGTCATAATTTATTACCTGACAATTAAATTTTTTAAAATAATGAGACATATTTAATAGCATTTAATTTTCGTTTTTTAAATAATTCATATATTGAACAAGCTCATGTGCAGCCACTTCTGTTGTCAACACCACATGAAGAAGGTGACAGCGAAGGCCGATTAAAAACGCTGCAGCTATTGTGTGTTAACAAGCACATATAAACGTTGCGATGTTATTCAACTGAGCTACTGTCCCCTAGCCTGCTGCAGAGGCAATTGCCGCTAGGTTTTTCACAGCTCTTAAAATTTTGATCTGAAAGCTGAACCCGTGCAGTGTGGCCACACTCGAGACTGGACTGCCCAGCTCCATTTTAGCCAAAGTGTTGAACCCAGGGGACATTTCTCTAGGGAAGTGGTTAGATGTTGCTCTGACTGGAATTTCCTGGTCCTGAAGCACTCACGTCACTAGGCAGGGCTCCAGACTGCCAGTGGTCAGTTGCATTTTGCGACAAAATTTATGTAAGGTCGACTGACTTTTTTTTCCTTCCTCAAAGGTTGCACCGAGTGCACTCGCTCACCTCATGAAGCAGACTTCCAATCTATCAAATGTGTCGATCCACTCTGACTTCAAGACATGCGTGTCATCTCTGGGCCCATTTTTTACCTTTTTTTTTTTTTTTTCCTCCCTTTTGGCGCATTTGAACTGTAATCGCCACAGGCAGCTGTGTAAATCAGGTAGATCACCTGTTGACCTGTCTGTGTGTTGGAAACTTTCTACTTGAATCTCTTCTGGTGGATCAGGCTCCTGGTATCACTGTGAACTTTCTGCTTTTACTTTCCCCCATCCTTTATCATAAGATGAGGAAATCTAAAGACTTCTGGCACCGACAGCGATGGTGGCCGTGGTTACTCACGCTCTCTTGTTTGTTGTTTTTCTTTGTTTTCTTGGTTTTGTGCAACTCATCCCGGATTACTTTTACCAGAGAAGAACTGTTAAATATCGGACAACTCACACCAAACTACCTTCCTCCGATTTTTGTGAAGAGTCGTCAGGAGGATGATGGTGTTTATTCTTCATCTGGACTCAAACAGATTCCTATCAAATGGACTGCACCAGAGGCCCTGAACTACGGTAACACCTGACCAGAGGTCACGCTAGACTTTCTCATTGTCCATCCTTTTGATAGACGGTCATTAGAAATTGGTCATAATTTATTACCTGACAATTAAATTTTTTAAAATAATGAGACATATTTAATAGCATTTAATTTTCGTTTTTTAAATAATTCATATATTGAACAAGCTCATGTGCAGCCACTTCTGTTGTCAACACCACATGAAGAAGGTGACAGCGAAGGCCGATTAAAAACGCTGCAGCTATTGTGTGTTAACAAGCACATATAAACGTTGCGATGTTATTCAACTGAGCTACTGTCCCCTAGCCTGCTGCAGAGGCAATTGCCGCTAGGTTTTTCACAGCTCTTAAAATTTTGATCTGAAAGCTGAACCCGTGCAGTGTGGCCACACTCGAGACTGGACTGCCCAGCTCCATTTTAGCCAAAGTGTTGAACCCAGGGGACATTTCTCTAGGGAAGTGGTTAGATGTTGCTCTGACTGGAATTTCCTGGTCCTGAAGCACTCACGTCACTAGGCAGGGCTCCAGACTGCCAGTGGTCAGTTGCATTTTGCGACAAAATTTATGTAAGGTCGACTGACTTTTTTTTCCTTCCTCAAAGGTTGCACCGAGTGCACTCGCTCACCTCATGAAGCAGACTTCCAATCTATCAAATGTGTCGATCCACTCTGACTTCAAGACATGCGTGTCATCTCTGGGCCCATTTTTTACCTTTTTTTTTTTTTTTTTTCTTTTCTTTTGATGCATTTGAACTGTAATCGCCACAGGCAGCTGTGTAAATCAGGTAGATCACCTGTTGACCTGTCTGTGTGTTGGAAACTTTCTACTTGAATCTCTTCTGGTGGATCAGGCTCCTGGTATCACTGTGAACTTTCTGCTTTTACTTTCCCCCATCCTTTATCATAAGATGAGGAAATCTAAAGACTTCTGGCACCGACAGCGATGGTGGCCGTGGTTACTCACGCTCTTGTTTGTTGTTTTTCTTTGTTTTCTTGGTTTTGTGCAACTCATCCCGGATTACTTTTACCAGAGAAGAACTGTTAAATATCGGACAACTCACACCAAACTACCTTCCTCCGATTTTTGTGAACGAAGAATGTTGTATGGACATTCTGATCAGAAGTGCAGCAGCGATATACGGGACCTGGAAAAAATGTTGGTGACGTGCAAAATGGGCTGGCGCCTTGGTGCAGTTACGACAGAGTGGAACACGGACCTCACTCTCATCTATTCACCTGGCTAATCTCCGCTCCCTGGTCAACAAAATGGATGAAATTCTTCTCGTCAACAGGACTAACTCTGACTTTGCACGCTCTGCTGCTTTGTGCTTCATGGAGACCTGGCTCAGCCACTCGACAGCGTGATTCGAATACTGGGCTTCCAGGCGTTCAGAGCGGATCGTGTAAAGGAGCTGTCCGGGAAAACGAGAGGAAGTGGAATCTGCTTCTACATAAATGAAGGTTGGTGCACAGATGTCACAGTGCTACAGAGGACATGTACCGCAGACCTAGAGTCTCTTATCAATTGCAAACCCTTTTACTCTCCCCGCGAATTTAACAGTTTCATGCTAATGGGAGTGTACATAACACCGCAGGCTAACGGCTCCTAGCAGAACTGATAACTAGCCTGGAGCTAGAACATCTCAACTCTCCACTCATTGTTCTAGGGGACTTTAATAGAGCAAATCTCACCCATGAACTGCCAAAATACAGACAGCACATCACCTGTCCCACCAGGGACAAAGTCACACTGGACCATTGCTACATAACAATAAAAGACACCCATCACTCTGTCCCCCGTGCAGCCCTCGGACTTTCAGATCACTGCATGGTCCATCTTACTCCAACCTACAGGCAGAAACTTAAAGCTGTGAAGCCTGTAGTCAAAACAGTGAAGAGCTGGACTGAGGAGGCTAAGTCAGAGCTACAGGCCTGCTTTGACTGCACAGACTGGAGTGTATTTGAGACTGCAGCTACAAACCTGGATGAACTCACTGACACTGTGACATCTTATGTGAGGATGTGTGTGTGCCCAAAAAGTCCTTCTGCGACGACGATGCCGCCGCCGCAGCGCCGTCGAGGAGGCTTACAGACGTGGGGACAGGACGCCGTACAGCCAGGCCAGGAACACAAGGGAGATCAGAGCTGCAAAGAGGAGCTATTCTGAAAAGCTGGAAGCCCAGGTGTCAGCCAGTGACCCCTCGTCTGTGTGGGGTGTTGTGGACAAATATCTTTTAAAGCTCAGTGTGTGTGAAATAAATACGTAACATCAGTTCTGAAAGTTATTACATATTTATTCCCGCAGGAAGGAGGGTTCTCTGAACGGAGTGTCTAATACAGTCTGTTACAGGGAAGCTCAATGGACAGAGTGTGTGAGTCCTTCTTATACTCAGCCTACAACAAAGACGTGATATCACTGGGAGTGCAGTGTCTTGCTCAAGGGCAATTGACACGTGCACTGGAGAGGTTAAGAATCGAACCGCCAGGAGGCAACCCACTCTACCTCTTAAGCCAGAGCCACCCTACAAATATGGTTGACAAATCAAAGGCTGACAAAGTTTTCCTGCTTGAGTGCTCATCATAAACCAGGCATGTCCAAAGTCCGGCCCGGGGGCCAATTGCGGCCCGTGTTCAAATTTTCACCGGCCCGCAGCTTCTGTCATAAAATCAATAATATGTGGCCCACCAGCACTGTTGACCACAGTATAAAATACACGCGTACAAAAAAAGCTATTTTACATTTCACCAGAAGATGGCAGTAGACCCGTGGCCGCACTCTCGCCGCCGTGCCCCTTGTGTGATCCTTTCAGCCCGGCCCATTTCTGACATGGTGAATGTAACTGACAAAAGGAAAGTTGACAGCGAGGGCCGCCGCTTCCAGGACAAGTGGAAATTGCAGTATTTTTTCACTGAAATACGAAACAACTGTGTCTGCCTAATTTGCCAAGAGACTGTGGCTGTTTTCAAGGAATTCAATATCAAGAGGCACTACCAGACGAAACATGCTAACTATGACAAGCTAACTGGGAACGAACGTGGCGAAAAATTGAAGCAACTGGAAGCTGTTTTAATAGCACAGCAGCGCTTTTTCACAAGAGCCCGTGAGTCAAATGAAAATGCCACAAAGGCGAGCTACGAGGTGGCAACGCTGATTGCCAAGCACTGCAAACCTTTCACTGAGGGTGAATTTATTAAAGACTGCGTGATGAAAATGGTTGAGAAAATTTGTCCTGAGAAGAAGCAAGAGTTTGCCAATGTTTGCCTGGCTCGTAACACTGTGGTACATGGAGTCTGCAACAGACCTGAGACTGGGACGGAGATTTGTCTTCCAACAAGACAATGATCCAAAACATAAAGCCAAATCTACAATGGAATGGTTCACAAATAAACATATCCAGGTGTTAGAATGGCCAAGTCAAAGTCCAGACCTGAATCCAATCGAGAATCTGTGGAAAGAACTGAAAACTGCTGTTCACAAACGCTCTCTATCCAACCTCACTGAGCTCGAGCTGTTTTGCAAGGAGGAATGGGCAAAAATTTCCGTCTCTCGATGTGCAAAACTGATAGAGACATACCCCAAGTGACTTACAGCTGTAATCGCAGCAAAAGGTGGCGCTACAAAGTATTAACTTAAGGGGGCTGAATAATTTTGCACGCCCAATTTTTCAGTTTTTTATTTGTTAAAAAAGTTTGACATATCCAATAAATTTCGTTCCACTTCATGATTGTGTCCCACTTGTTGTTGATTCTTCACAAAAAATTACAGTTTTATATCTTTATGTTTGAAGCCTGAAATGTGGCAAAAGGGCGCAAAGTTCAAGGGGGCCGAATACTTTCGCAAGGCACTGTAGGTAATATTAAATATTAAAATACTAGTTGCCTCAATTTGAGGAGGTGCTTTGACCGACTTTGAAGTAATGCACACTTTGCTTAAAAAAGAAAAAAAAAACATTCAGATGCAAAATCTGCCACTTTTCATTGTCAAGACACAGCAATAGTAATTAGGTGGGCAGAGTTTTGTTTCAGCTATGTTTCCTTTATGCCCCTTTTCTTTCTATTCTTTCCCTTGTTTTTACCATGGTATACTCTTGTTTGACTTTCCTCTCCCCATGCCAACACACACACATAGCAGACCTAGCACATACACATTGGACTCGTGGCTTTACATGAGAAAATGTCTCCCCCCCCATCTCCATTTCTGACCCTGTGCCCCAAACAAATCCTGAATTAATTAAAAAGGGAAATCCCAGTGGTCTTCAGGAGAGACACACGCATCTCTTTCTCCCACACACATACACACACACATAGATTGTCTCACCCTCATGCGGTGGTAAGGGATTAGCGGAGCTTCAGTGATGGGGGTGTTTCCAGGTTGACAGAGAATGACGGAGCTGGAGCAGCCTTGGTTCAAACATTACCAAGCACTTTGATTTTTGTTTTTTGGATTTTGGCTATCTAGACATCTAGTGTTCACGCATTTTTGAAATAACTACATTTAAATGGTTAAAGTTGGGGTCCAGTTGCATCAAAATGTCTAATTTTTACACTGAAGTCGATTAATTTCACAATCAATGGACTTACCTGTGGGTGAAACATAAAGGTTGGACCATAGTTTCTAAGTGATCATCACATTTCACTCAGTTTTAATTGGGAACTGCTAAAATGCCAAATGTATAACAGAAGCAACAACAAACTTCTGTGTTAACTCTTTTGCACTTTTCTGATTGATCAGGGAGAATAACTGCACTTCCATGGTGACATGCAAATGTGTCACCACTTGCCACTTTATTAATGGTTCATGATCAGCAGCTAAAGATGATGTTAGTTTAGCCAACAAACAGTTGTCTTGTACAAAGGAAAGCCACGTTTCAACAAAAAGAACTTTCTCTGAAGAACAGGAACATTTGCAGGACTTTTGCTCTATATGCAGTTCCTCTGAACCGGGGTGTTAATTTAGTTCTAGGGTTTAGTTCTACCCCTGAAAAAAGTCCCTAGTCA